ATTAACAAAACCGTTATGGTTTTCAACTTCCCAAAGGGGGTATTCCTAGTTTAACACAAATATGCAATGCAAAGAATCCTAGAAAAACAAATCAAGAAAATTGTGTTTAGAAAGCTGCATCGATTACTCGTTTCTCGGGCGGCATTGTGCTTAGAATAATACGAAAATGAAAACCCCCAACACTATAGCGCTGTAAAGAATGACAGTATGAGTTATATTTCTCTCAACAAGACCACAAAAAACATCGGGAAAAACATTCGTCATAAATCTGAGCAGCAGAAGCCATAGAGTGTGGCTCAAGTTAGTTAGACAGGCCTTGCTATCGACACCGCAAAAATTATCATCATTATTCTTCAGGAAAACGGTCATGACCTTCTTTGAACCTTGTTTTTCTTCACCACCTTACACATTACAGACATATTACACATATCTATTTTCTTGATCTAGCCATCTCTCATTGAGCGTGTATTGTTCAGCTTGGTGCTAGCATTTCAGAAATCAACATCTAACCTTTAGCTTGAAAAAAATAAATGTTGGACTAAGCTCCCCTTGCGTGTACAGAAACCTTTACTTAAAACATCCCCCCCCCCCCCCCCCCCCAATTCATTTCAGTCGTATAAAAACGGCTGCCATTAATAGAAGGTGGAACATTTTATCGATCATGCTTTTTCGTGGTGTTGTGGAGTCTTCTTTCATTTTGTTCCCTTTCAGTGTCGGTCGCTGTGCAATATTAGCAAAATATCATTAACAGCGTCAATGAAAAGTTATGATTTTTTTCAACACCAGTTAGTTATTTATGTTTCTTTGTAATAAATTAGTATTTGTTAGTGCCTCCACCGTCTTCATTGTTGCGGGTTCAATGAGGAATTTGATCGAATGTAGTGTCTTGTACCGTTTAGATAATGTAGAAGTCGGGATGCTTCCAATGCTCGCTTTAGCCGTCCGGGGCAAGGGCGAAGGCTGACTTGTTTGACAGGGTAATCAAAGTGAAACGGGACCAGATATGGCCTGGAGATATCAGAATATCACACAAGAATCTTACTCGATGCGGCGACTCTGAGTTGTGAATGAAAACAAATCCGGAATTCACATTGTATGTTCAACCGCCAAAATAATCGGGAAAGTATCTTATTAAATATTAATTCCAACTACAATTAAATTTAACTTTAGATTTGAATACACAAACACAAAGCAAAGAAGCAGAGATGTCAGTACTAGATCTATATGTTATAGATCTACCCGTGAGTCTAACTCTTTGGTAGAACATGACAATTATCCTTTTTTTTTAATTTTACATTTGGCTGTTTTTGTCTAGCCTTTCGCGGCCAGGAGGCGGTGTCATAATCGAGGTCACGATCTGATTATAGGACGGTAAAAAGTCGAGGAATAAAAGCAAGCACTTGCAACAGTCAAGAGATTGTTGGGAGTTAGTTCCTCTCACATTTGTGAGGTAGACTCGACCAGTGTAATAGTTAGCTTACATAATCAGAGTTTGTGATTGCTTATAACTGTGGCCCCAAAGTGGTGAACAGGGTATTTGTGGCAATGAAACAGTTTTGACTGCTACGCACATGTTCCCTTCAACTCTATTGGTAGATTCTTCCAGCCTCACTTTAAGCTTACTTAATCAAAGCTTGTGACTACTTATGGAGTGGCCCGAGAGGGGTGAGCAGGTTATTTCTGTGGCAGTGAAACCTTTTTGAATGTTAGGCATACTGTTCATTGTTGATTATGAACGTCTTCTTACATTTAATTTATGAGGTTTACGTTTATGGGTGAATTTGACAGCGACAATGTTTCAAATTTAGAAAGGGAAGCAGTGATTATTTGATTATATAGATGCTTCGCCCCTGGTTCCGGGCGAGAGAGATACAACAATACAATATCACAGCAGACAGGCGAAGATACTCAATGCAATAGTTTTCCCACTCACGACTGGTAATAATGCCTTCTGCAGACAACGTCGAAGAGTCTAACTATTACACCACAGACGCTAGCCATTTTGACAAGGATTTTTATTCTTTGCAAAAAGGTTATATGCGTCAAAGGGAGTCCACCCTAACATTAGATGCCCACATTGTACACACACTCATTCCTGGCTGTTTGGTGAGCAATATAGATCCTTTTGAAATTGGTGTTGTTGGTGGAAGTGGTGCTTGCATTGCTCCTATTGTTGTTGTTATTGCTGCTGTTATTGTTTTAGCTGTTGTTGTTGTTGTTGCTGTAGTTGCTTTTTTTTAGTGATAGTAGTGGTGGCGGTACTTCTGTTGTTGCTGTTACTGTCGTTGTTATAGTTTCTATTAAAGATTACACCCAAAAGGAACAATGAAGGCCATTTCGTGAACGGGCTTGAAAAATGTACTGTAGTTAAAATTTGTCTCACCTTGAAACAAAACATTGGACGCGATTACTTCCTTTTACTTACTTTTTTTTCGGAAGCGTAACCACTTTCATCATTACTCTTTATCGCCTACATCTAGACACTAACACAAGAAGCAAACGAAAATCCAGAATAATAAACAAACTGCTCTCCGCTGATGACCAGAGCCTCATACACCACTGCTATTAGAGTCTCCTAGAATAGAAACCAGTACACATGATAAAGCATATTTTGGGAAATATGAAAAGCAAAGAAACACAATAAAGACAGAATAAACGAAGATCTTTATGAACTAAATCCCATTAAATATCCAATTCAACAACATGCAACGGAAACAAGGATCAAAATCTAAAATGCATTGGAAGCATAATTTTCACTTCATATGGAAATTGAACATAGAAATTGAAACACGAGTTGAAAAGACAAAAGCGGTCACCAACCAAACAGCACCCACTCTCACCCATCAAAACATCGTTCATACCAATTCTCAGAACCACTGTGATACCTGGGTCCTCAACAAAGCACAGCGAAGTGAGATAAAAAGCATGAAAAACGGCCTTGAATATTATAATAGTCGAAGGCTTCAAATCAAGAGGAAGCCTAACAGAAAGATGAATCGACCGAGGCAGACAGCCACCGTCAAAGGAGCAACATGACGATCCAAAAGTCAACACACCCCTCGACATTTTGAGGCAGAAGACAAAGGAAAAAGTGTTTTAAAAAAGGAAAGAAAGTAAGATCCCTGTACCTACAAAATACCCGCCAAACCTCAGCACCGATGATGGAAGAGCGACAGAACGTCCTCGGAAGTTTCGTTTTAGTATTGATGGGCCAAGCAGTAGCGGCGAATGTCACACAAGTAGGGAATTCCCTTATGGTTTCCCTTCCCCCAACCACCCAACACCCTTCTGGCCCAATACTGTGACTAACAAGTGACTCCCAAGGGATGAGGAGAGGCTAGAACATCAGTTATTCTGGCGGCTGATGCCTTTATAGATAAGTAATTAAAAGTCAGCTTTGTTGGAGTCACCTAGTGCGAGCACTTTTGTTGTCAACCCCCTTCTTCCTTTCTCTCTCTCTCTCTCTCTCTCTCTCTCTCTCTCTCTCTCTCTCTCTCTCTCTCTCTCTCTCTCTCTCTCTCTCTC